ATAATCCATGTGACATCAGGGGTTCAACCGTAATTATACGAAGCTGCGAGAATACTTTTTGTGCGCAAAAAAAAACACTTTATTCAACAATTCGTCTCCTCCACTTCACCCTGTAGCGCCATTTTGGAGAATATCCGCTGACGTAAACAGCGTATACGTGGAGGAGACGAATTGTTGAATAAAGTAATTGAACCACTGATGTCACATGGATTATTTTACACATCTCCTTGCTACGTTTCTGGACTTGGTAACATTTCAGTTGTGTTGCTGTCTATGCAGGGTCAGACAGCTCTCAGATTCCACCAAAAATATCTTAATTTGTGTTCCGAAGATGAACGAAGGTCTTGCGGGTTTGAAACGACATGAGGGTGAGTAATTAATGACAGAATTTTTGGGTGAACTATCCCTTTAAGTCAATGAATTGCTGCGTCTCATTTCAGAATGAAAATAGCAATGGTGTGTTTGTAATAGTAGGTCACAGGTTTGAATCCCATTACTGTAGCCCTTGATATATGAGTTTGGATTGGTCATTTACTCTGGTTCACTTCACTGTCTTAAGTTATGTAACATCTGACCCGAATGGGTTACAGCATGTGGATCTTTTTTTACACTACCCATTCAAAAGTTTGGGTTTGGTATTTAGGCTGCATTTATTTGATCAAAAATACAGTAAAAACAGTAATATTGTGAAATATTATGTTTTCTATTTTTAATATATTTTAAAATTTTGTTAACTTTAAAAAAAATTTCCTGTGATCAAAGTTGAATTTTGAGCATCATTAGTCTTCAGTCTTCAGTGTCACATGATCAGAAATCATTAATAATATGCCGATTTGCTGCTAAAGAAACATTTATTATTATTATTATTATCAATGTTAAAATAGTTGTGCTGTTTAATATTTTTGAAACTGTGATACTTTATTCTCAAGATTATTTGATGAATGGAACGCTCAGTAGAACAGCATTTATTTGAAATTATGTCTTCATAAATGTCTTTACGGTCACTTTCAATAAATGTAATGCATCCTTGCTGAAGTATTAATTTCTTTCTGACACCAAACTTTTGAATGTTAGTGTATGTCCTGATATCTTTGCTATCAAACCTAGTGTAATTTGCCATTTTTAAGGAATCAAGCTTTTTACAAGCACATTTTAACATCGATGAGCGTTTTCTTTGGAAGTTTGAAAGGTTTATGATGATGTCATAACTCACTTCCTGTCTCCTTTGGTCTTTCTGGTGTTCTTCCTCTCCTCTTTCCCACCATCTATACTGTCAACATTTTTATCTGTGCTGAACTGTGTATCTCTCCAACTTTCTCTCTTTGACATCCACTTCGTTCTCCTGTCCGTCCTTCCTGTTCCACTCTTCAAACGACCTCTTCATTGATGTTCTTTTGCTCTTTCATCATGTTCACTCCACCTTCACCTCTAACAGACGATGGAGTGTCAGATGGAGGAGTGGTATAAAGAGGTTGGAGAGCTGCAGGCCCAGGCGGCCTCCATCCCTCAGCAGGGGCAGGTGATGGAAAAGGTGTCCGAGAGACAAGCCGGGGTGGAAACGCGAATTGTACGACTGATTGAGCCACTGAAAGAGAGACGTCGTATCCTGCTGGCCTCTAAAGAAGTGCACCAAGTGGGCCGTGACCTTGAGGATGAAATTGTGAGTTTAGCAACCTCATTATAACTATTAGCTTTAATACATTTTGAAATGTGCAGCATGTTGTGAATGTGTTTGTCTGCAGTTGTGGATACAAGAGCGTCTTCCAGTGGCCACTTCTCAGGAACATGGCACAAGTTTACAAGCTGTACAGCAACTCATGAAGAAGAATCAAGTAAGACAGCATCAAAAAACTCTACTGAACAGAACTCTCAAGGCTCTGTTTCTCATGGTCATCTCCTCTCAGAGTCTGCAGAGAGAGCTTCAAGGTCATCGTGGACGTGTGGAGGATGTTCTGGAGAGAGCAGGTGTGATCGCGTCCATCCGCAGTCCGGAGGCAGACAGCATCAGGGCCGGCATGGAGCAGCTCCATCAGCTGTGGGAGGCGCTGTGGACCGAGACCGAGCACCGGCAGCTCCGGCTGGATGTCATGTACCAGGCGCAGCAGTACTACTTTGATGCGGGAGAGGTGGAGGCCTGGCTCAGCGAGCAGGAACTGCACATGATGAATGAAGAGACGGGAAAGGTAGGAGAAGAGAACAGACAGGTCATGTGGGGGTGGGAAACACCAAACAGCCATATTGGGGTGATAGGTATTGGGTAAAATATTGTTTAAATAAAACAGTATCAAATAAACAAAATGTTAGCTTTCTGGCTCGTATATATACACACACATACATTATGTACATTATATATTGTACATAAAGTACATACATCTCAAAAATGGTACAATTTAGGTTTATGCATTTAGCAGATGCTGTTATCCAAAGTGACTTACAATAGAGGAACATAAACAATTCATCACAGAGTCAACACTATTCTCATAATAAACAGTGCTAGTTTTATTAGAAAGCTAGGAAACAAGTAAGAGCAGGGGTGTCAAACTCAATTCCTGGAGGGCCGGAGCCCTGCAGAGTTTTGTTGCAACCCTGCTCCAACACACATACCATGTAGCTTTCAAATAAGCCTGAAGGACTTGATTAGTTGGATCAGGTGTGTTTAATTAGGGTTGAATCTAAACTCTGCAGGGCTCTGGCCCTCCAGGAATTGAGCTTGACACCCCTGTTATAGATGATGACATTGGAACAATGTGTATCTGAGCTGTGTCCTCTCTCGCTTAAGGATGAAGCCAGTACTCTGCAGCTGCTGAAGAAACAGCTGGCGCTAGAGCAGACCATAGAGGACTATGCTGAGACCATCGGAATGCTGTCTCAGCAGTGCAGACAGCTGCTGGAGCTCGGACATCCAGACTGGTAAATGTGCAGCAGTACTTACTGACCCAATCAAGCATACAAACACACAACAATCTTTTGCTTATCTAGTTTCACATTTGTGCCATCACAGATGCCATTCTTTGTACTCCAGTGATAACACCTTTCAAGATTTGTTTTCCTTTGAATGAAATCTATGTGTGTTTGTGTGCTTGTGCCTCAGTGAGCAGATCAGTAAGCATCAGTCTCAGATCGACAGGCTGTACGTGTCTCTGAAGGACCTGGTGGAAGAGAGGAAGTCTCGTCTGGAGCAGCAGTACTGGCTCTATCAGCTCAACAGGGAGGTGGATGAACTTGAGCAGTGGATAGCAGAGAGGGAGGTCATCGCCAGCTCCACTGAACTCGGACAGGACTTCGAGCATGTCACGGTCAGTTGCTTCAGCTATTTCATATTTATCTGCCCCTAAACATGATCAGCTGTAGCTCTTGTAATTCTTCCGTTTCTTAACACTCAAATCCTGATCCTCAGATTCTGCAGGAGAAATTCACAGAGTTTGCATCGGAGACTGGGAGCCTGGGGCAGGAGAGGGTCACAGCTGTCAACCAGATGGTTGATGAGCTGATAGATTACGGGCATGGGGATGCAGCCACCATCGCTGAATGGAAGGATGGGGTGAACGAGGCCTGGGCGGATCTGCTGGAGCTGATGGAGACGCGAGGACAGATGCTTGCTGCTTCACACCAGTTACACAAGTTCTTCTCTGACTGCCAAGAGGTATGAAGGAGGAAATGCAGGACATCTGATTAATTAAGTCGTCTAAACTGAGTGCTTTGCCAAGGCCATCATTATTATGACTAGTACTTATACTTAACTATCACTGTCACTATTGCTCATGGGGTTTTCTTCAAATGCTTGTTTATTAAACCGTCTGTTTTATTGACATGCATCCATCCAAGCAACCATATAGCAATGCATTAAGCCAGCATTTAAAAAAAAAAAGTTGCCACCCTGTTGAAAAATCCAGCATATGCTGGTTAGGTATGTTTTGAAGCATGGCTGCTGGTTTAAGCTGGTACTTAGCTGGTCATGAGCTGGTTTAAAGGGTTAGTTCACCCAAAAATTAAAATTAGGCTGTGTTTTACTCACCCCCAAGGCATCCTAGGTGTATATGACTTTCTTCTTTCAGACGAATCCAGTCGGAGTTATATTAAAAATTGTCCTGGCTATTCCAAGCTCTATCATTGCAGTCAGCGGGTGTTGCAGTGCTTCAGTCCAAAAGAAGTGAAATAAAGCGCATCCATCCATAATAAAAAGTGCCTCACACGGCTCCCGGGGGTGAACAAAGGCCTCCTGTAGCGAATCGATGCGTTTTTGTAAGAAAAATATCCATATTCAAACCGTAATAATCACTTTAATCTAGCTTGCGGCAACAGTCTAACACGGAAGCAGCTCCGTAAGATGTAAGATGTCGTAAGATGTCGGCGTTGAGCATGCGCCGGTGAGTCTCGTGAAAACCAACGTTTGTTTACAGGATCAAAGTAAGCAAAGTTTCCTTAATTTAGCAAAGGAAAACCAGTCTCCTCTTGGCTTATATCAAAATCCTCTGGCATTCTTCTTTACAAATCCTCGTTTTGTAGTTCTAATTAGTGACCGTTGTTTTGTTTTGATCTCGCCCCTGTGCTTCTGCGTTCGTCACTTCTGAGCGGCGCATGCGCAAAGCCAACCTCATACGGGAACTGCTTCCGTGTACAACAGTGAGTGCAAGCTAGATTAAATTGATTATTGCGTTTTAAATATGGTTATTTTTCTTACAAAAACGCATCGATTCGCTACAGGAGGCCTTTGTTCAACCCCCGGAGCCATGTGAGGCACTTTCTTTTATGGATGGGCGCTTTTTATTTCACTTCTTTTGGACTAAAGCACTGCAAAACCCACTGACTGCAATGATAGAGCTTGGAATAGCCAGGACAATTTTTAATATAACTCCGACTGGATTCGTCTGAAAGAAGAAAGTCATATACACCTAGGATGCCTTGGGGGTGAGTAAAACACAACCTAATTTTAATTTTTGGGTGAACTAACCCTTTAAGCTAGTCATGTGCTGGTCCTAAGCTGGTCCTGAGCAGGAGCTAGTTGCTTAGGACCAGCACATGACCAGCTAAGGACCAGCTTAAACCAGCTCAAATGAATACCTAACCAGTATATGCTGTTTTTTTCAACAGGGCAGCCAATGGCAGCATTTTTTATTATCTTCACCAAATTTTCATGGCCTCCAGAATATTTTGTTTTATGAATATCTGAATGTGCAATTATATGTCAGAAGGAAGCACAGAGCCTCTGCTTTTAAATTAAATGTTTTATTCTAGCTTCATGCATTTTCTCTTTATCAACACTTGAATGTGGGCAAGTTTCCTAAAAAAGCATTTTGAACAAAAAGCTGAGAAATGTGCATTTTTGTCAAAGACTTCATCTGGATCGGATTCAGAACGATGATCTCTCTTCTGGAGTAGATCTCAACTTTTCCAAGAATGTTGCATGGTCAGTGTACTTGATATTATTGGTTGAATAACAGTCCTAGCTTTCCTTAATGCCCTGGGAAGCTTTATGTGTATATATTTTGTTTTATTGCTGTGATATTTGTGGGATAATGCTGAGGCATGTTTGTCCTTCTGCTGCAGGTGTTGAGGAGACTGAGTCTAAGCTCTGTTTGTGTGTTTACTGTGTGTACATGACAAATAGGAGCAGTGCTCATGCTGTATGAAAGCTTAGACCACAGTGGTCTCATGTGTCTGCAGGTGTGGAATAGCATGAGTCTGTGTGTGTGTTTCAGGTTTTAGCACAGATCGAGGATAAGCAGCGGAGGTTACCTGAGGTTCGCGCATGTCAAGGAGGCACTTCAAATACCAGCACTCTGCAGAGACTTATGCAGACTTTTGAACATGATATTCAGCTACTTGTTACACAGGTGAACTGATGCAACACATCCTTATGCAAGGACTGCAAAATAAATATGTAAAGTTTGTAGATAGATCTCTAAAATACTTGATGATAAAATACAGTTCAGGACAGTGGCAGCATTTGCATAAAGAGGGTTGTTTTCCTCAGGTAAGACAGTTGCAGGAAAGTGCAGCCCAGCTCCGAACAGTTTATGCCGGGGAGAAAGCAGAAGCCATCGCCATGCAAGAACATGAAGTGATGCAGACATGGAAAGAGCTGCTCATTTCCTGTGAGGACTGCCGAATGCAAATCACCACAGTGACAGACAAGTTACGCTTCTTTGGGATGGTGCGTGATCAGCTGATGTGGATGGACAGCATCATCTGTCAGATAGGAACTGGGGAGAAACCAAGGTAGGACACATGCTGGGACACTTGCTCTCTGCTTGTAGGAGCTCATTAAGGTGCTTTATCGTTGTAATGCATGAAGGTTTGCATCAGGTCAGCTGAAGAGCAGCCACTGTGGCCGCTGGAGTGCACTATAGGTATCATACCGCGAGCACAAATAAGTGATAAGGTGGTAAGTGCATGAAGCACAATAGTATTTATACATCATATTACGATTACGCATACTAGTACCCATTAGGAGCACTGTATGGGAACACAATAGATCTGTTAGAAAACTTACTGAGCTGCTGTGTTGTCCAGTTCCTATATAGGCAACTACCTTCATGAAACACTAATTTATGTGAAATGAACAGAGGACTTAACGTAGAAATTATTAAAAATAACGTCGAAATATTCCAATAGTCAATATTTGATTCCAATGGAGTTATTGTACATGCAAGTATGCAAGGTATTGGAGTAAAGGGTACATGCAAGGTATTTTGCCAAAAGATGTTATGTATAATATTGCTGGCATTGGGAACACACCTAAGATGCCTTAAAATGATTAGGTCTAGGTTCGCAGCTTACTAGGTTTTGGAACAGAGCTATAGAGCAAATATATATATGTTTTGGCATATTTTGAAAATCTTAACGAAGAACCGGTAATACTGCAAAAGCTCAGGAGCCATTATGGACACTCTTCATGGTGCCAAAATGGCCTTCTGTTGCTGTTTCTTTCTTTGGGCAGACTTGGCCCATGTATTCTTGCCCGAATAACTCTCTCTCCTCTCACTGTCAGCTCTTTCCTCAGAGCTTTAATGGGATATGGGGTCTCTGGTGCTTGCAGGGACGTGTCATCTGTGGAGGTCCTTATGAACTATCACCAGAACCTCAAGAGTGAAGTGGAGGCCAGAAACAAGAGCGTCCTACAGTGTATCGAGATGGGCAAGACTTTACTGGCCGCCCGTAACCCTGCATCAGAAGAGGTGACACAAAACAGCAAGCAAAACCTGTTCAGAAACTATTGGAAATGTGAAATCATTGCAAGGCCCAAAACATAATCTATGCATGTTTAATTTCATGCATTGTTGCAATACAAAATGTTTCAGACTGCAATTACATATTGCATTCTCAACATTGCCAGAAGGGGTGCTATAGTGTGTATTAACATAAACATTTCTTCTACAATCAATATTCTCTTTCAAAAAGTTGCTTTAAGTTGTTTTTAAGTATTAAGTATTCCCCCTGAATATGGTTTGTTACTGCCACAGCAATACAAGAAAGCACAATAAGTATGTACGATGTAACTGCCTGCATTTCTGTCTCTGTTGGTGTACTTGTGTAAAGTATGTTTCTGGCCTAAGAGATGATGACTAAAAGATATTCCAAGCTGTCTTCTGTCTGTACCTGACTACGAAGTATTGACTGTTTCAGATCAAAGAAAAGCTGGAGAAGGTTTTGGCCAAGCAGCAAGAGCTCACTGAGAAATGGGACAAACACTGGGAAGAGTTGCAGCACAGTGGGTGAAATGAGGCTAATGGAGAACAAACATTATGCATAAAATATGTAATCGGTGTCATGTGTTTCCCAACAACTCATTCTCTTTCTGTGCCTTCGCAGTGTTGGAGGTGCATCAGTTTGCTCAGGAAGCAGTGGTAGCGGAGGCCTGGCTCACTGCTCAGGAGCCCTTCATAAGTAGTAATGAACTGGGCGGCAGCGTGGATGAGGTTGAACAGCTGATTCGCAGACATGAAGCCTTTCGCAAAGCTGCGGCCACATGGGAAGAACGCTTCAGCTCTTTACGTCGTCTTACCACAGTAAGCGAGACCAACCAACCAAACCCAAGGGTCAGGGGTATCCAGTCCTGCTCCTGGAGGTGCCAGTGTCTTGCAGAGTTTAGTTCCAACCTGGCCAAACACATTTGCCAGAAAGTTTTGAGTTATTCTGAAGACTTTGATTAGCTGGTTCAGGTTTTTTTATTAGGATTGGTGCTGAACTCTGCAGGATAGTGGCCCTGGAGTAGCATGATTCAAACACACCTGAGCAACATTAAAAACAGCAAAAGAGATCCACAATGATGTCACTGTTGTAACATTCTACTTGCAGCTTGTGCAATTTTTACTAGTTGGAAACTTTTCTTTAATTTTACCATAGTTTGAACTTGTCAATAGACTACCTACTGAAATTTTAAAAAATGTTATTAAAAGGTGAATTGTGTATAGCATAATGTCTTTTTTTATAAATGTTACAGAATGGAATTGTGGGTGTATAAATAATAACACATTCTCTTGTTTAACGATTTAGGTAGAGAAGATAAAAGCAGAGCAGAGTAAGCTTCCTCCAACTCCCTTGCTGGGACGGAAGGTTTTCTTGGACCCTCAGGACTCTTCTCCTGCTCGCAGTAGCCCTTCCTCCATCATAAGACAGACCATATACGAGCAGGGCGAGTCCCGGCTGGAGCGCATCACCCCTCAGCCCTCTCCCTCTTCCGTGGCCCGCAGACTGGGTTCTACTGTGGCCAACTACACTCCCATCATGAATGGAGCTGCTACTTATCGCCTTCAGGAAGCCAGAAATGCTGGGATTGTTGGAGTGGCTGCAGGACTGGGCACTGCTATGGAGCACAAGGTCACCCAATTGCGAACGGAATTTAAGGCCCAAGTCCCACAGCAGAAGATCGAACATATCCATGAGGCAGTCCACCCCATGCTGGAGAGAGAGAGGGAATGGGAGCGGTATCATGAGAACGTGATGGCAGAGGTGGTGCTCCAGGAGCCAGGCGGAGGAAGGGAACGCCTAAACAGCATGGTGGGAGGGAGCGGGAGCAGCCGCTCAGAGCTTCTGGTGGAGCAGCATCCCCCACCGAGGGAGTCGCGGATGGAGAGACAACTATCTACTGAGCAGCTGATTCGGGCACGCAGGGACGAGCTGCCTCAGGAGGTGTGGAGAGAACGAGCTGGGAGGGCAGAGAGGAGGCTGGAGAGACAGACATCTAGTGAACAGGAAGGTCATGAGGTGCGGCGTAGGGACAGACACCGACCAGAGAGACAGGACAGCAGCGAGCAGGAGGCCAGGGAGCAGTCAGACAGACGCTCTGGTGGCGGGTGAGTGACTGTATTTGTGATCACAAACAAACCACATTACAAAAGACATTACAAAAGTTACAGCATTGCTGATATATACTGATATGTAGAGATTCTCTTGAAGGTGAACATCACTGTAACGTAGTTTGTAGATCGGGAAGAAGGAGGCGGGAACCGGCGAACATTCAAAGAAACTTTAATAATAAAATAAACACAAAATAGCGCGACAGCCCCTCGCGGACGACTGTCGCGCACAAAAGAAACCAAAACACAAAATAAACTCCAGGCCTGGTCCTCTCTCGTTCGACACGGTCGTCACTCCTCCCTTTTATCCTTCCGGAGCTCCTCCGTGAGACTCGAGACCGGTGAGTGGGTGCAGGTGTCCCTCATTAGCAATCACTCCACCGGCCTCGCTCCGTTCCCACGGCTCTCGGCCCCGCCCCCACTCGTCACATACCCCCATCGCCCCTCGCAGGCCGGGGGGTACTCCCGAGACTGCGCTCTACTCCCCCCCCCTCCCCACTCTGGGGGAGCCGATCACCCTCGCTCCGTTCCCACGGCTCTCAGCCCCGCCCCCACTCGTCACAATCACCTTTAAGCTTCTACATGCTGGTCACCAAGTCAGTTCACAGCAAGCAGAGGTTCAAATAAATATGGACAGATTTCTAAGAAAACTTCTCGACTGCAGTTCACATTCACTTTTCATGATCCGGTCGATTCCTGATGGATAAATTCTTCTCGTACATTGCCTGTTGAACTATTTAACCTGTCACATGAAGGACGTAAAAGGATTGTAAATGCTTTCCCATATTAGGGGCTTTTGCACCGGTGGAACCTTTTCATAGTTCCTAGAACTATTGGCGGAAGTTCACGCTTTTTGCCGTGTTCGCACCGCAGGAACTAGGAACGGTTTTAGTTCTAGGAACTCACCATTTGGGGGAACTAATTTGGCTCCTACTTCAGAGTAGGGTCTAAAACAATTCTATAGGAACTATCAGTGACGTAAGTGTGTGCTGATTGGCCAAACGCATACAAAACACTGGCTACCCGGCATTTTTAAAAAGCCATGTAAAAAAATCTTTACTCCACGAGCATGGAAAACAGCGATAACGGCATTTAGGTACCTGTTGTATGCAGTGTTGTGTTGTTTTCTCAGCCTCGATGAAATGTAACACTGCAAGTTGTCATAGAAGATTTAGTCTTCAGTAACGTAAATAGTGTGTTTACATTTCACCTCCGTTATCATGAAAACCATGACACGCAGCAAAAACAGCTCTGATCACGGCGTCTTCTATTCACCAGTTGTTGATGTTTGTATTAAAATACCGCGAGTAAAGATGTCGCTGTTGGCCGCTTTAGAGTTCCTGCTGCTGGTGCAACCAGGAAAATGGACCGAGCGGGAAATTGGTTCTCTAGAAACCACCATGCTGGCTAGTTCCTAGAACTACGCGGTACGAAAGCCCCTATTGACTTTGAAGTAGCCCAGCAACTTTTTTCTGTTCTGTTCAAGCAAAATAGCATTTCCAGGTCTCAGATTTCCCCTTTATGTTGGCAGGGACAAAAGGTCGACGCTAGCTGAGATTGTGGAGCAGCTTCAGGAAAGAGAAGCAGCACAGGTGTGTGGACAATCTAATGTTTGTGTATCTTGTTTTAAACTACATTTTATCACATGTACATTACTGTTTATTTCCAACTCAGGCCCGAGGAGAGATTCCATGTCTACCCAATGGTTTTCCTGAGAAGTCTTCTAAACCGGACCGACCACGTGCTCGCGACAGACCCAAACCGAGAAGAAGACCACGACCCAAGGACCCAACAGCTGGCAAAACACGGCGCTCAAGGTCTGCACCAGCCCAGAGCAACCCACCAGTTCCCCAGCCGGCTACCCACATGGCCCAGCGTGAAGGGTTCCTCTTCCGCAAAATAGACATTGAAGGCCAAAAGAAGAGTTCAAACAGGTGGGGCTTTGTGGTCTAAAAATTATGGGCACATGGCATGGAATTAGCATGGAAATGGCTAAACCAAATATGCCAATCAGTATGATTGGTTATTCAAAGCTATGCTAATGTTATTATTAGCATTGTGTACTGATGCTTAGAGCACTAACATTTGTTATTACAAGGCAGCTCTTATTTTCTTTCACCAAGTTTCAAGTCAAACTGGGATATGCTTGAATGCTTTACAAGCCTAAAATGTTTCCTGAAGTTAAACTGAGGAGCAGCTGTTTGGCTGTCATTTCTGATTACAAGATTCATATCCAGCTATGGCAGAAAATAGCTAGCTGTTAGCACTGCTTGCCACTTGCATGGTAATACTAAAATCAGCCTGGATGGTGGATGATACTGTGTCAGAAGACCAACAGATGCTGGGTCTCTGAAGCCATGGCTAGCAAGGTATGAAGCCTTCACCCTTCACAGCTTTATACAGCCATTTTGTATAAGACCGGATACGCCACCTTTGCAGCCCAAGTCACAAAACAATTAATTGCATTGAGGAGTTTAAGGAACTCAAAAGAATGGCTGTCTGTTCTTTTGTAGCATGATTTGCACATAATCTGCCTGTCCACTGACGCCATTTTCATACTAGCATTTGCGTTTACGTTGCAGTATATCTCATTAACCAAAATCTCTCTTCTTTCTTATGCTCTCTTTGCCGCCGACTGTTCTTCTCCCTCTCTACAAAGGTAAGCCATGGTCTGTCCGTCTCTTTCTAAAGGTCTAATGATTTTTGCAGCAGTTTGGTCTTGCTCAGTCTTAAAGGCTGGTCATCCCAGACTCAGTAGGTGAGTAGCTAGTCGGTGCATGGTGTCATCTGGGTTCTGATGGCCAAATCTTCTGTTTCTCTCCCACACTACAGCAGATCTTGGGTGAACTTGTACTGTGTGCTGAATAAAGGTGAGCTGGGCTTCTATAAGGATGCGAAGAACACCTCCACACCTTACAACAACGAGCCGCTTATCAACCTAAACCGTTGTGCCTGTGATATCAACAATGGTTACAAAAAGAAGAAGAATGTCTTCACTCTCAAGTACTTCATTAGCACTTTCATTAGCTTTTCCAAAAAGATTGGTTACTTGTGTAGTGTTCTCTTTGCATAACATTTATTTTGCTTTATAATTTCAGAACTAAGGATGGAAGTGAGTTTCTGTTCCATGCTAAAGATGAGGTGAGTTGCATGGCTTTGGACGGCAAATTGCAGGGAGGGTGGGATGTACGCTTTCAGTGCCATCAGGCTAAAGTTAGCATTTTCCAAGATCTCCTACTGCACCTTTAATTCAGTCGGTAATACATTTTTAACTAGGCCTAGATGAAATCTTCAGACATTTTCAGAAAAGCTGACTAACGTAGCATACTGTAGAAGCTAGTTTATTGCTGTTTTAAAGGGTTAGTTCATCCAAAAATAAAAATTAGCCCATGTTTTACTCACCCTCAAAGCATCCTAGGTGTATATGACTTTCTTCTTTCAGACGAATCCAATTGGAGTTATATAAAAAATTTTCCTTGCTCTTCCGAGTGTTAGAATGGGAGTAGGTGGGTGTTTTTGTTCAACAGTCCAAACGTAGTCAAATAAAGTGCATCCATCCATAATAAAACGTACCTCACCATGCCTCCTGTAGCGTATCGATGCATTTTTGTAAGAAAAATATCCATATTTAAAATGTTATAAATACTTTTTTCTCACTTCTGCTGACTGTCATACGTGCAAGCCGTTCCAGGGGATGACGTAGGAAGTATGCATCGCGCACGCGGCGGTGATTCGTGACGAATGCGGAAGCGCAGCGGAGAGACAGCAAAACAAAAAGCCGGAAACGAATTAGAAGCACAAAATGAGGATTTGTAAAGAAGAATGTAGGAGGATTTCGATATAAGCCAAGAGGAGACTGGTTTTCCTTTGGTAAAGTAAGGAAACGTTGCTTCCTTTGCTCCTGTAAACAAAATCGCGAGACTAGCATATCTCACAGCCGCGTGCGCGACGCATACGTTCTACGTCATCCCCGGAACGGCTTCCGCGTATGACAGTCAGCGGAAGTGAGATAAAAATGTTTATAACATTTTAAATATGGATATTTTTCTTACAAAAACGCATTGATTCGCCACAGGAGGCCTTTATTCACCCCCCGAGCCGTGTGAGCCACGTTTTATTATGGATGCGCGCGCTTTATTTGACTACGTTTGGACTGTTGAACAAAAACACCCATCTACTCCCATTCCAACGCTTAGAATAGCTAGGAAAAATTTTTAACATAACTCCGATTGGATTTGTCTGAAAGAAGAAAGCCATATACACCTAGGATGCTTTGAGGGTAGGGCTGTGCAAATAATCGAATGCGATTTTCATGCGCATCTTGTCAGTAAAGCCGGTTCTGTGATTTAGTAGTAAATCTCCAGCACGTGCTTTCAGATGGAGCGGTATTTACTATAGAGAGCCGTAGTTCACTGACAAGCTACGCAAAATCGCGTTCATAATCGGCAATGAAATCGCCTGCAATTTTGCGTAGCTTGTCAGTGAACTACGGCTCTCTATAGTAAATACCGCTCCATCTGAAAGCACTTGCTGGAGATTTACTACTAATCACAGAACCGGCTTTACTGACGAGATGCGCATGAAAATCACATTTGATCTTTTGCACAGCCCTATTTGAGGGTAAGTAAAACATGGTGTAATTTTTATTTTTGGGTGAACTAACCCTTTAAGTTGATTTACCAGCTCAAACTAGCCTGACCAAGCCAGTCCATCAGCTAGTAGTCCAGTCCAAGCAGGGACTACACACTTCTTGACAGAAAGCATTAATCAAATAAATCGAAATATTTCATAAGTAAGTAAAGTAAGTAAATATTTCATAAGTAAGTAAAACACAAGGGTTGGGGAAGGTGTAGAACTGTTTCGATTCTGTAGAAATCTCCAAAAGCTTTCTATGGGGGTCTCTCTTGCTGATTCTGTGCGGTCCTGGCTATAGCTCATTACATTGATTCAGGTCAACTTTTTTGTGTGAAGACTTCAATCTCTCTTTGGTCTGCAGGACGATCTGAAAAGCTGGACCACAAGTATAAACACCAGTATAAGTGAGCATGAAGAGGTTGCCAAACCGGGGCAGACCAATCCAACTACCTCATCTACTGACGAGGGAACGCGCAGGGATGGCAGCAGGGCAGGTGGTTCGGAAAGAGGTGAAAAGTCAGACCGAGCCGACGGGGGATCTGTGCGCTTTAAATGTCAAAGTGTGTGTGCTAAACGGAAACGTAACGGTTTCAGGTATTATATTTGTGCCTCATTGTCCTAAAGTCTGTCAACTGTAGTCCTTAACACATTGTCTTTAAATCTAAAAAAAAAAAAGAGCTAAATAACGTTAGAAGCAATGGTCCTCTTTCTATAAAGAGAAATGTAAACCAATCATTGAGAGGGAGATGATGTTAATGTACCATTTTTTTTATCAATCAACAAGTTAGTCGTTTTCGCTTTGCAAGCTCATGTTTGTTCCTTTATCTGAACAGAGCATCATGCAAATGCTTTTGTAATGTCCCTGCTTTTAAATATACAATTGTCAGCTCTCATTTCTCTATACAATCTTAAAGCATTGTATATATATATCGAAAGAGCTTTCTGTGTCTGGTCTGAATTTCTCTTCCTTTGACCCCCTTGGTTTTGTCTCCAAGTCTACTTTTTGGTACAAAAAATCCTATTTTTATGCAATAGAATAACTTATACAGGCAGAGGGTATGCAGTAAAAGTGTCCAATGTGGTGGCGAACGGAAATAATGTATACACTTGCAAGTAGAAAATTTATGCAACTTTTCCTTTGCACTAAATTACTGCCCCATTGCACAGTGCTATTGTGAGCGGAGGATTGGTGCTTGAGGGTCTGGGCTGTGTTTTGTGATTAGCTCAGCTAGCAGTATTATAAAACAATGTGTTCATTCAGTAGCATATTTTAAGAAATCATGAATGCCACCGGCTTACACTCTCATTCATACAACCGCATACACACATTTAATACCTGCTTCTTCCGTCACATGCAAGTTGATGGATATGAAACTGTTGTGTGTGTGTAACCGGAAGCATTTGGAAACATTTATAAAATGTTATTAAATCCAAGATGGATCTGATCCATTGAATCAACACAAAGCACAACCCCAACAGTAAATACATATTGTTTTATGGTTTAATAGCCTTGTGTACTTCAGCTACTACTCTAACGTTTTTCGAGTTTCTTGTGATGTCTATATTCTTAAAAGTTGTTTGATTACTTTTATATATACAGTATCACACGTTAAGCGGGTTTTATGGCAGATGAACCCTCATAGTAATATTTTTATCTTCTTTAAATGTTTGGGTATGACTGAAACTCACTCCCCGTGTCATGTCTATAGTGTCAGACCCTTAAGCACCACTGGTTTTAGCTCAGCAGCTCAATGACCTGTACAAATTGTAATTGCTTCTGTACAAACAAAAATGCTCTTTTTTTTCTGCTGTGAAATAAGAACATTTGATGGGTTTTAATATCAGTCTTGAATATCCGTGGGGTTATTTCTCCAAAGCTCAAAGGAAAGAAATCGAAAGGAAACTGGGCAATTCAGGTTGCATGAATAACATTGTCCCTGTAATGGTACTGCTGTGCATGATGAAACCACTCTCATTCTCACTCACAGCCACTGTTCAAGGGTGACACTAATACACATGGAATCAGTGAATGAATGAATGCTGTGTAATTCAGATCCTGACTGACTCTGTACAGTTAATTCCTTGATAAATACAGTTTGTGATATGTCAGATGTCTCCTTTTTCGTTTGTTCTGTAATTAGCACCTTCATGTCCTTGTAAAGGCCTAACTACAAGTAGGCTACTGTGTGTGTAAATTATCTTTAATTTGTTAAACCATGTATAACTGTAAATTTGTTCTAGAAAACAGAACATACATGAAGAGTTTTGTGTTATAGCCTGTAGTTTTTTCCCCACATATTAGCTTTGATAAAGGAACATGGCTAATGCACTCAGCAACAACATTGACTGATATGGCTTATCCAGTGTGCGGCCTTCATTTGTGTGATTTTTCTAGAAACGTAAAGATTGACATTTCAAAGACTGTCAAACTTTCAACTCAAAGTACATCATGATAACACAGTAAAGTAGTGCTGTCAAACGATTAATCGCATCCAAAGTAAAAGTTTTTGTTAAGGTAAATAATTGTAGATAAACTCCAAAAACATTTTAACCTAATATAGTTTACCTTAGCAGTAATTTTCACACATAATCTCCTGAGTTTAATAAACAAGAATTTAAAGTTCTTACCTTTTAGGCAATATTTCCAGCTACATTGTTTTATTTTTGTAACTACAAATCAACACAGTAGTGGCTGACTGTGTTCATGAATGAACCAAGTGTTCTGAACGAATCGTTTGACTAAATGATTGAGTTTCTGTCTCTTATTTCGAAGTCTGCGCTATTCCAGAGGTCGCATTTATCGGCTTTATTCTCAATTCTGAAGTAAAATCGACAGAATTCGAACTCCCTCATAATACGCAAAAAGACCGCATTTATCGCCATCTTGGAGGAAAATCTCTAACCGTTTGCGCTTGTCCTATTATGTAGTGGCGCATTATATTATATTATATTATATTATATTATTAAAAACAGCCTGACTCAGAAGTGCACTCTTGTAGTTTTATTAGCGGTTGTTGCAATAAGTAACCGCTAGATGGGAGGATTTGAAAGCGGAAGTGTGGCATATGAGCGGATGTGTGCGTGTTGTCACTGAGCAGTGACGATGATGATGTAGTAAGAAGGGAGTGCTGTCATATCAGCAGCATATGGAGTATCAGCACTATAAAGTTTTAAAAACAGAAATGGGTTGTTCTGGCGCTCAAAAGCCAAGCGCGGTCTTCAGCTTATGATATGCAGGAAAGGCGCGTTCGAGGAGGAAGCCAGCTTCTGAATCAAGGTTAGTACTTTACAGCTGTTATCATATTTCAAAATAAAATGACCCATCTTACTTGAAATACTTTAAATTTAGTCCCTACTCTAAATTGTTTGGTCTTCTCTGCATTGAGGGAAAAGTCCTTTTCATCGGCGTTACTCTGATACTTCTGTGCAGTAACGTTAGCTGTTTAAATTGTTAGTTTGGTTCCTCTGTTGTGTATCTTTATGTTGTTTTTATTTAAATAAAATAAAGATTTAATAGTTTGTTGACCATCATAGTTCAAAGATGTTGTGAACTACACTTTTTTTTTTTTAAATGCCTTGAGAAGGCTTAGAAATGAACAAAACTAAAAAGTCATGGAAATGTCTACAGTGGCTATAGTTATGTTCATTTCTAGGCTGTTTTGGGTCCAGTTACTTAAAAAAAAAATTTTTTTTTAAAGTCTTCATTTTTAAAAACTGTAGTCGTGGTCCACATATGGCTGGACAGTGGACTGGTCAGAGGTGTGGGAAGCCTGGAGGTCTGTCTGCTTTCATGTCTGAGGTTTATAGCTGAACATATTGAGGACATTTAAGTGAACACTGAGCATTAAGAAAATGAACTACCTGAGATATATATATATATATATATATATATATATATATATATATATA